ATGCCTAACGAGTTCTCAGTCACAGACACTGTTGAACATCAGCTCTTAAAGAGTAAGAATATAACAGGCAGCAGGCTGTAGAAAGAGATCCTGCCATAATTCAATGATCCTCTTTTACATCTTCACCAGTCTGGCCTGTGCTCTCGGCAGACTCATCCTTTAGGAGGACAACTCAGACATTTCTTTAGTGGACTGCTGTGACCTTGTTCCCGTGGGGCCTGGAGTTTACAAGCATGCGCCAGCAGTGCTCCAGAGCTTGTAATGCTGAGGGAATAGTTTCCACTAGTGAAGGCTTACAGGAGATTTAGCAGAGCACAGGCACAGCCCTGCTGCTGCTCCGCTCTGTTTACACTTCACCGAGACAAAGTTTACAGCCAGAACTGCGGCAGCGCGGTCCGACCTCAGCAGAAACCTCCATCACACACACGCACACGCACGCACACGGACACCCGTGCTGTCTCTGTGTTACTTGAGGAACTATGGAGCAAAGCGGTGCGTTTAACTACAAGAACAAAACTTTATGTGAGCTCGAACAGCTCCGCTGAAAGCGCGGCTGTTTGCACCGAAACCTCCCCAGAACATCTGGCAGCCCTTCGCTGTAACTTCAAACTCATCATGAAGGCAGTGAAAACGCTTTAATAACAGTCCGCTTCTCACCGCACTCTGACACCACCGAACTGAAAGCTGAGCAACAATGTTGCACAACACACTGTTTTTGATAACCTACTACAAACTGCAGAAAGTGAGCAACAACGCTTCTATTGCGCAACACTCACGGCTTCCTTCAGCTGACTGTAAAACACCCACAAACCCACACGAAACAGAGTAAAGTGGAGTTGCCCCACGACTGCAGCTCACTTCGAGGAGACGCAAAGCGCAGCGACCCCACAGATAAACATCGCTAACTTTTTTTCAATCATGTGCCTTAAACGTTCAAAGCAAACACTGTTTATTTTTCCACAAACACGGAACAGAAACAGTACCTGAACCGAGCTGTGCTGGCTGGGAACTGTTGCTGTTCTCCCGCTGCTTAACAGCATCCGCGGAGCAGGGTTTTAGGACCCGTCGGCGCCGTTAAAAAAAAATCACTCATCCAACAGATCCGCCATACTGAATTAATCACGTGTCAGACAACCCCCTGCGTTTCCGTAGGAGGCGGGGTCTGCGGGCAATATGATTGACAGCTGACGGGAAAATCTCTAACTGGACACGAGGTAAGACCACCATTCTGACACACAGGTATCATCACCTCCTCCTTTACTACCAAGTACATTAAGCTTTTTTTTTAACTTGTTTAATGGGGTTTTTATGTATTTTACATTTAATAGAGGATTCATTTGATATCCAAGTATGTGCTCAGCAAAGACGTATATGTCCTAATTTTGTTTAAATTACAATAAACAGTAAAACAGCTCCTGAGTGCTGATTCAAACCTTTAGTATTATTAGGCAAATACCAAAGTACAGGCCAAGCAAAACCCAGCCTGCACTAAAGAAACAAGGTTTCTAATGTCACTGGAATGCTCGGCACTCCTCTTACTTTAATATATAACACAAACAAGCCTGTACTTTTTTTTAATCAGGAAAAATAATGCACCCACTGGTACCGAAGAATGGAATCCCCGCGCGAACTCAGTCTGCTGTTTCAGTTGGTTCTTCTCACTCCAGGACGACTTTCCCAAACTGCAGATAACATGTGTCAACTTGTCACACGCAGTAGCTGGTTTAATACTTAGGTGGAAAGATATGTGGCAACAGTAGATTTTCCAGAAGGGGTTGGAGGACTGCAGTTGCCCTCCTGGAAGTGAGCCTTCTAAAATCATATACCCTTCAAATTACACATATATATATGTGTGTGTGTGTGTGTGTGTGTGTGTGTGTGTATAAAGCTGCCTTATAGTGTCCAAGGAGACGTTCAATAGCCACAAAACCACATATGTAACTCTTATCTGTAGTTATTTTTATTTAATTTAATAACTGTACAGTACTCTCTGTATATAGTAACCATTGTCCTTAATGTAAATATGTAAGAAAAATTGCGTATGTTTCTGTTCTGTGTCCTGTGTACTGTTTGTTTGTTTGTGTCTTTTTGGCTGCTGTTACAACCAAATTTCCCCTTGTGGGACAATTAAAGGATTATTCTATTCTATTCGATATCCGCACAGCACCAAAAGGCTTAATTCTCATCAGGGGGTAGTGCTCTTGATTCCCCTTGTTTGTTAAAGGAACACTTCCGTAAGGTGAGAAGTGCAACTCCAACTTCCTCTAACAAACTGGAGCATGGTATACATCTGTCTCATAGTTTTTCTCTTCAGTCGCCACGATTAATCCCTGTGACAGCTTTACTGGCTCGGTCGGTTTTACACAGCATCCCAAAATAAGTCAGCGAACAGTGAGTTCATCTTGTGTATAATATTAACTACAAACAGATGTTTAGTTTATTTAAAAATCATTACTGTGGTGTTTAAAAGAAACTACAGCACAAAAGAGATGAGTTCATAGCCTGCTATAGACAGCATGTGTGCCAACAGCAGGAAAGCTACACAGGCCATGTGTCAGGGTTCCTGGGTCGGTGACCCAGTGTTTTCAGTTTTGTCACATTTAGGTTATGTTGCCACATCAGTGTTCTCACTTCCTGCTTTTCCTGTGTCGGCTTGTCTCTTGTGTTATTAGCCAGATTATGTTCAGCTGTGTACTCACCGGTCTCTCATTATCATCCTCATCAGTCTGTGTATTTAAGTCCTCTGTTTCCACTCATTCACTGTCGTGTCATTGATGTCGATGTCGTCTCTCCGTATGTATGTTCAGTCAGCCAGCCAGCCAGTCAGTCAGTCAGTCAGTCAGTCCTTCATTCCTGCCCTGTTCATCCACGATTCGTAATAAACCATCTTCAGTTCTTCACTATCCACGAGTCCTGCGTTTGGGTCACTTCCTCGCCTCCACACACGACACTCCTGACACCATGGAAGGATTTTCCTTTATTTTACAGCATTTGCACCTATTCAACTGCATGTTCATGTAAATATCTCATCAGCCAAGCAACTCAGTGTATGTAGGTTCAGATATGGTTGAGACCAACCATATCCTTGGAAAAGAACAAACCCAGTGACTGTTAGCTCTCTGGGTGAAAATGTCTTGATGACATAAGAGGTCAGAGGAGAACATCCAGACTGCTTTAGGCTGATAGGAAGGCATCAGGAACTGAAATAATCACTTGTTCTAAACAAAGTATGCAGAAGAGCATCTCTGAATACACCACACTTCAGATCTTGAGGCAAATGAGCTACAGCAGCAGAAGACCACACCAGGTGCTCCAGGAACTCTTATCACTTCTTTTCCCCATTAATCTTCTTTCCTTCCGCTGTACCTTAGTCAGTATCAGTATTAAGCAATAGGGTTTACTCCCTGATTTATCCAGTAAAATGATGCTATGAATCACAGCGTGTAGATTAAAATGTTACACAATTCATGAAAAAGGGCCATTCTTAGTTTCCCTTTTGATTGTGCAATCTAATGTAGTGTTTTCACTCGTTTGGAGGGGGGAGGGGGTCATCTTTGAAGAGCAACATTATGAATGTACACAGCCAGTAACTCTGACGAGTGCCATTAATTACCAGCGTTTGGGGAATTAACACACATCAGCAGCTGAAACAGGGAGAAAAGACATCAATAACAAGCGACAGCATGAAAATAAAAATGACACAATAGCGGCGAAAACAAAACGCTCAGTGGGAAAGCAGGTTTAATTAGGTGGATAAAATAGAACAGTGAGCTGTAAATCACCTCACCCCCTTTAAACATCATTCATCTACTTATTATCCAAACACATTGTCTGGATGTGATTATGGCTATGAGGCGATAAAGGTGTACTTTATTTTTCATGGAGCAAACAGAACCTGTGACTTTTTTTACTTCCATTTAAAGGACAAATTGACTAGGAAGCACTCGTGCAGGCTGGAAGCAAAACAGAGAAGTTTTGAAGATGCTCGCTCATGTAGCCAGGCTGTCAAAGAAATGTGATGAATCGCAGTTATGTGGTAACTTTGTCCTTAAATAACCGACACCCAGCAGTACACCGTGTGTGGTCATAATCAGCAGTTGCACTGATGCAAGTACTGCACAACAGTGGACTGTATTACTGTCAGGCTTGAAAGGACACCTGATGCTGCCACAGATGTAGCAGCAACAAGGCTGGGATTACATAAGCACTCCAGCTTTAAGAGTGTGGGCTCATCCAAAGAGAAATGAAACAACTCGACCCATTGGAGCTGTTCGCTAAAGAACAACACTGACAGCATAATGAGCATCCTCTCACACGGGCCTGTCCACATAAGCAAGGAAGCTGATTCGAACAACGATGGGATGGCTCAACCCGGCCACAAGCTCCACTGACAGCATAATAAGTATTCTCTTGAAACCCGTCCACGGCATTTAAGAATGGGATGCATCCAGAGTTTATCTGCTGCAGTGGAAGCAGATAGGGCCAACACAAGATGCCACACCAAGCTATTTGATATAGCTAGATAGTTATAAAGAGCTCATTAGGATCATGTTCATTCATTCAGCGCTATGGAATAGAAATGGCAAAACTCTTTGACCCACAGCAACATAGATTGCATTAAATCTGCACTGCATTAAAAGAAAGTGAGCTGATCAAATGCAGTACAGCGATACAGTTTTTGAGATATGAACATTCGTTTTTTGTTTTGTTTTGTTTTTCCAGAAAAACTACAAGAGCGTGATAGTAAAGAAGAAACTGCATCCAGGACAGAAAAACTGCATTATGTTGCTAACCCAACTTTGGCTCTTTTCAAGCATCTGCAGGGACAGCATGCTAACGCTAAGCTAGTAAAGAACCCAGAGTGAAGTTAAAGCTGAGTGAATGGCGACCCAGCCCAGCAGCCAGACCCTGAATTTAGGCAACAAACTGATGAGCAGTCAGGCTGCAGCCTCAGTTTCTACCTGTTCATGTTCCTATAGTAGAATCGCCATGGCTATTGCACTAAAGTCTCTTTGTGCTGGTTTTCATCTTTGATATTTGTGTTGTCGGCTTTTTGTTCATTACAAAATACTAAGAGAAAGATGATATATGTGTCCTCAATATGACAGGTATTTGTGTTGGTGTGTGAAACTGTAGCATGTAGGTTTATATTGTTAAATGATAATTATGAGAAAATGTGTTTCGTATCATTTTATGGAGAAATGCAAAAGTAAAGTAACAAGTAGTATAACAAATTACTTTCTCCTGCGAGTAATTATGTATTGCATTACTTTTAAGAAAAGTGTTCAGTGCAGTATGTATAATCATGACTTCTTTTTGAGTAATGATCACAAAACTGATCAGAACGAAGAAGGGAAATACTCCCAACATACACAAACATTTGACCCACCGCATACAATTAATTTGCATGAATGTAATGTCTTTGATATGGCGCTTAGTGATGGTGGTGACTCAATGAGGAGCCAATGAGAACCCAATAAGAATCAATAAGGAATCAATAGGTGATATTGATAATGGAATCCGAATAGCTAAATACTTATCAATTTCCATCCCATCCATCCATGGCATGATTTTAAGGAGAAGTAATGAGTAATGTGTGATATATTACTTTTCTCGAGTAACTGACCAGTTCGCACCCATATTCAGTGTTGCCCTTTGCCAAAGAATACAGCCGACATCACAACACGGTTTTCTGAGAAGGCCAGATGTGGTCCACATCTGGCCTTGAGTGACACCATAGCCTGAGGGTCAGTCTGGCTTCTGCATATTTTGGAATAAAAAATAAAGAAAGAAGTGATTTGTCCATTTCTCACTAAGAATTTCTTGCAGTGTACCTCTAGCCGTGATCACATTCAAATATTCTCTATACTGATGCCGGATGTGTCGGTAGACTGACTGAAAAGTAAGAATAAGGAACAATTCCAGCAGCATGTTGCGATGCTCTTTGTTTGCGAGCTTGTCAAGTGCAGCATCTTTCACCCTTTGGGGTCACTGATGGCCTGTTCCATCTCCTAGCTCTCTGAGTACACTCACTTTGATTTTCTGCTGAGATGAGATCTGCTGCTTCACACCAGAGTTTCTTTTCTTGGTGTGATGG